CGCCGCTGGGGGGACAAATACAGGGGTGAAGAGCTGGGGGGGCTTCGAGGGGACCAACCCACCGTGGGGGACACACACATGTGGTCCTTGGGCTGGGCTCCCCAGCTCAGGAGGAGGATCTCAGAGCGGACCCCCCAAAATAAGCACCCGCCCAGCTACAGCCCAGCAGCCAAAGTTTTGGGCCCTAAGCCCCCCCCAACCCCGGGTCCCCACCCATCTTCGCCCCAAGACGCCAGCACCCGCCCGGCTGCCCCGCTGGGCTCACGCGCCCCCCCCCGGCCAGGAGCCGGGAGGAAAGGCCAAGAGCCCGCCTGGGCGGGGGGCGCCCCCGCCGGGCCCCCCCCCCCCCACCCGCTCCCTCTCCCCAGGGCTCCCCAGTCGGAGGGTCGGTACCTTGCGGCTTGAACTCCACCCCCTTCTTCCAGCCCGGCGGCACCGTCAGCAAGTCTGGGCAGCAGGGAAGGAAAAGGAGGCAGAATTTCACCAGGGACTGGCTGGCTGGCTGAGGGGGGCAGGGAATGGGGCATGGGGCCTGTCCCCTCTAGGGGGCGCCGGCTCCCACCCGGCCCCAGGGCAGGTACTGGCTGGCTCGGGGGGCGGGGAATGGGGCAGGGGCCTGTCCCCTCTAGGGGGCGCCGGCTCCCACCCGGCCCCAGGGCAGGGACTGGTTGGCTCGGGGGGTGGGGAATGGGGCAGGGGCCTGTCCCCTCTAGGGGGCGCCGGTTTCCATCCGGCCCCAGCGCAGAGACTGGCTGGCTCAGGGGGGTTGGGAATGGGGCACGGGGACTGGCTGGCAGGAGGGGGTGGGGGGATACAGGACGCCGGGGTCCCATGTACCTCTCTCGAAGTCGATGTCCTCCTCCAGGTGATCTTTGGCACTGATCTGCTCCATGCTGGGCTCGTCCATCCCGCCTAGGGAGCCAGAGAGAGGCTCAGTCCCAGAAGCCCCCGCAGCCGGTGGGGGAGCTCGGGGGGCGAGGGAGAGGGGGTCACGTACCTGGCCAGAAGGGGTAGTTGGTGCTGCTGCCCCGCAGGGCCTGGGCAGGGGGCCCCGGCGCCCGCTGGAAGGAGAGCGAGTTCTTGGCCGACAGCCCCATGTTGTCCAATGGCGCCTGGGGCGGAGAGCGGGAGGGGGTCAGAGCGGGCCGTGCCCATGGGGGGGCCGCGCGGCTCCCAGACCCTGGCGGAGGGGCACCCCGGTGTCCAGGACAAGGCTCACCCTGAGGGGTCACCCCTGATCCCACCCCACTGAGAGCGAGGGGATAGGACCCCGGTGTCCGGGTAGGCACCATTGCCCCAATCCCGGGCAGCACAGGGACGGGACCCCGGCGTCCGGGACACACCTCTTGGGTGCTACATAGTTCCCAGCCCTCGGGGAGGGAAGGGACGGGACCCTGGCGTCCGGGACTGCACCCCTCGGGAAGGGAAGGGATGGGACCCCGGCATCCGGGCCGGCACACTCACCTCTCTGAAGGCCAGGATCTGCCCCGTGGTGGGGTCCCGCTCCGTCTGCAGCGTGGAGTGCACAGGGGTGGGGTCAGTCTCCAACAGCGACCAGACGTCCTTCTCCCGCGGCCAGACCCTGAGGGCAGCAGAGGGGCGGAGTCAGCGCCAGTCCCCGCCCCCTCCAACACGCTCCCCCCCCCACATCCGAGGGATGGGTCCCGGCTGGGGACAGGTGTCCCGGTGACCCCACCTGCCCGGGCCACTCACCTGGGGGCCCTGTCGAAGCGGTGGAGGGGCAGCCATTCGGGGCTGGCCAGGAAGCGCCGCTCCAGCTCCGAGGCCAGGTCCATGGCGTAGGGGGGCAGGCCGTGGGGCAGCTGGAAGCAGAGAGAAGGGAGATTTCACACGCCGGCCGGGCAGGGCACGGGATGGGGGGCAGCAGGGGGCGCTGGCCCCACGCCGGCGTTGGGGGGCTCACCGTGGAGAGGGGGAACGTGTCCCCGTCGGGCCCCTCCGGGCGGGTGATGAGTTCGAAGCGTCCGGCGCAGCCCACTTGCAGCATGGAGAGGGGCAGCTCCATGGGCCCCCGGGGGGGCAGCTCTGGGGGGGGGACACATGGGGGGGGTCAGACTCCACAATCGGCCTCTGGATACCCACCCCCCGCTGCCCTCCACACCCCTGCCCCCCAAGTACCCCCCTCCCCCGGACACCCCACCCCCCGGTTCCCCCCTCCCCCACCCACTGCTCCCCCCACCCCCTGCCGCAGCCACAGCCCCCCAGCGCCCCCTCCCCCTTCCGCCACCCCCCCCAGCACCGCCACCAGCCCAGTTCCCCCTCCTCCGGCATCTCCTCCCCCCACCCCCTGCATCCCCCCACCCCTTCCATCCCTGCTCCCCCCACCCCCCGCATCCCCTCCCCCTCCCTGCTCCCCCCACATCCCCTCACTCATTCTCTCCATGTCCCCTGCGGGCCGCCCCCTGCCCCGGAAGTGCTTCCCCCTCCGCCAGCTCATCTCCCTGCGGGGCGGAAGCCGGGCGGCCGGCGGGCAACACTGCGGGGCGGAAGTGACTCGACCAAGCCGGAAAGAGGCGGGACGGCGCGGGGACGTGTCTCCCCGTATGCAAATGAGACGCCCCGGCCCGCCCCCTCCGTGAACGCTCCGCCCTCGCGCCGGCGCACTGCGCCATTGAGCGCGCGCCTCTCCGCCAATAGGCCACGGAGCGGGGGGCGGGGCAGCGCGGAGCAGCCACCGACGGGCAGCGGCGAGGGTCAGTGCGGGACCCCCAATCTCCAGCCCCCCCCCCCCAGCTGTAGGAGCCCCGGGGGGTGGGCGTCTGCCCTAGTGCATCATGGGAGCGGTTGGCGGGGGTGATGGGGCGCTCGGGGGGTTGGCACCTGCCCCGGTGCATCATGGGAGCGGTAGCGGGGTGTCCTGGTGCATCATGGGAGCGGTTGGCTGGGGTACCTGGGTGCGGTGGGGTTAGCGTCTGCCCCGGTGCATCATGGGAGCGATAGCAGGGGTGATGGGGCGCGGGGGGAGTTGGCGTCGGCCCCAGTGCATCATGGGAGCGGTAGCAGGGGTGACGGGGCGCGGGGGGAGTTGGCGTCGGCCCCAGTGCATCATGGGAGCAGTTGGCCGGGGCACCCGGGTGCGGTGGGATTGGTGTCTGCCCCAGTGCATCATGGGAGCGGTAGGAGGGGTGATGGAGCGCGGGGCGAGTTGGCGTCGGCCCCAGTGCATCATGGGAGCGGTAGCAGGGGTGA